CGCTTCAATATTTGCTAAAACTGTATCTTCATGTTGACTATAACGGTGAGCACAACGATTTTCTGGCAACTAATAAGTTATGATGATGTTCTCTGACTATCATTAAGTCCGTACGTCAACTTACTCTAAGTTAGTTCGCTGCAAAGTTCGATTCGCCGTGTCATCAACGAAAAACATGCTTGTATTACCCGGAAGGTATATCTAATTATCGATAATATTAATCTGCTGCAAAAACGCAATTTACAATCATGCAGATCAGAGCTTCTTCTAAGCTCAATGTGCGACAGACCTTTTTGCCGTGATAGTATTTTTCGACACTAGCCATCTTGAGTTTCTCCCTTCAGCTTTACTAAGGGGTACACTGCGCTCCGGTGTTGTCCTGTTTTTTTCGGACTGGTTATCCATACTACCACTCCCAGTCAAGGCGTCCCTTTCCACTACCCTCTTTGCCGTTGCGCAGCAGCCGTTCAAACGCTCCCTCAACCCGTGAGCTCCCAGGCGTGCTGCCACGGCTCCAAACGATTCCCATCCGTTCTTATCAGCCAAGCCTGCGACCCTACATCAGTCCATTCGGCATGATCAGGCCATACTTCCTAGCGGATTCTGCTACTTAAACTGCTACCACCATGAGCACGCTCAACCGTTGGAGCGTGCTGGTGTACGTGTATCTCTATGTGACCTCTACCTAAGGCACTCTTTTGTAGGAGTTTCCAAGCATCAGACTCTAACCCGACCCGGCCCAATTTGGCCTGCTTGCCCAGGCGCCTTTAAGATGACAATTTCTGCTGCACACCCTACTGCTGTACCCCCTACAGCTGTCCCATTGTTTAGCTGTTGTCGCTGATCCCTTATGATACCCTTACGGGATCGTTAGCGTAACTGCCCTACACACTATGCCCAGTACTTTGCTTGTGTGTCACAATAAACAGGTTTCCCTTTTTACTTCCGCAGCAGAAGGCCCTCGGGCCTATGTCGGTGCGGCACACGCATATAGAAGCACAGTGGCGAACTAAGGTAAAATACTACTATCGATGTGCACTGCTGTGCAGGCTGTTTGCAGGAGCTGTGTGGGAGTCTATGCGAGTTTGCTCGTAGCATCGTTTCCGCACCCATTCATAGAAAGCGAGTGAGACAAGATGGGTGCAGGAGGCCCAGAGAGATAGGGGCTGCCCGCTGCTTTTGTTTCAAACAGTCTACAGGCCACAGCCACGCCAAGCGTTAGCCTGCTTGCTATCTCCATTGTTCTGCTCCTTCATTGTTTGGCCTCCTAGGAAGAAGCCGCTGACCTCCTCAGATGACAGCCTTACTTCGTCTCACGAGCCCTCGCTCACTCCGGTACATGTCGACCAGCAGCAAACCCGGGCGTCCCTCCAGGACTCGCCGACTCTCGGAGTGTTAGCCTTTGTCGAAGCTCCGCCTACCTAACCAGCTCTGCTAGGTCTTAGAGTTACCACTACCGGTGTCCCCATCGTCACAGCAGCCTGCTCGGATCGACGCCATCGGCTTCAAGAACCTGCGCCTTTTTCGCTCCACCACGCCGTCGCCACTTCGCCGCTTTACTATCGATGCAATCCGCCGCTGTCGCACATCTCAGAGAGCCACAGCTCCCACGGTAGCAAATATAGCAGAAAGGACAGCAGCGTGAGGGTTGTGTTCGACTCCGCAGCCGGCCATTGCGCTAGTAGAGAATGAACGATTCGCTCCGGATGGACCAGCACAGACACAGAGACGCTGAGGGGCAAGACAACGCCAATGGCAGCGGAGCTCCGGCAGCAGCCATCCTGGGTGTGGAACCAATCGTAAGTAGCACTAAAGGAGGCAAGCGCTCAAACGGAACTATAACAGTGACCAACAAGAAAGAGGCGAACGATCAGTGACCAACCCGCCAGGCAGTCGATGGCAATCAAATATGTTTTTGGCGAGCTAGGTTGTAGGTACAGCGAGCTTAAATAGGCTCTAAATAGACGCTAGTAATAGATATA